AATGTGACTCATTAGATCTACCAGGCCACCTTCTGCTACAGCTCCATAGTCCAGTTCCGACACTCACATGTTCATTGTACGCGCTTTCGGCAATGGGCCATGGATGGGGGTCAGCATGGGCAATCTGACCGGTCTGTAGCTACTGTACGAAGCCCCATACGCAGTAAGCTGCAATGCATTGTGTGTTCTGACACCTTTCTATCTTAGCCAGCATTAACTCTTTCAGCAATTTGTGCTACGGAATCTCTCCTGTGGTATCACACCAGACAGGCTAGCCTACACTCCCCACGCGCATCAGTGAACCTTGGGCACCCATGACCCCATCGCTGGTTCACCGGTTGGCCTTCGTTGGACCACTTTTGGTAGGTACTGACCACTGAATACTGGGAAAAGACCAAAACACCTGCCGTTTTGGAGATGTTCTGACCCAGTTGTCTAGCCATCACAATTTAACCCTCGTCAAAGTCGCTCAGATCCTTACGCTTGCCCATTTTTCCTGCTTCCAACGCATCAGCTTCAAGAACTGACTGTTCACTTTCGTAATATATAATAGCACCCTAGACAGGTGCCATTGTAATGAGATCATCTATGTTATTCGCTTCACAGGTCAGTGGTTTTAATGTTACGGCTGTTTGGTGCATGTGTCATGAATTGCACAGCATGCATATTAATATTGGTACATCCCGGTTAAACAATATACTGTAGAGTGAACACATTTGTATTGCACACATATCGTACATTGGCAGGTATGCCAGATAGCCAGGCTAGCCTTGTATAGCCAATGGGTGCAATGTCAGCTGACTGAAACATAGGCTATTAAGTTCAGCAAACCGTACAGGTATGATGTACCCCCTACCTCCCACCTGCATTTGCATTTGGGACCAGAACCACTAGACGCAAGTCAGTTTGGGCATATCTCGATATTGTAGCTGACTATCATACATACATCACTGTATGCATACAAGTTAGATATGGACAATAGGTCATTATTTGGCTGCCAGCGCTGCTCATTCTCCTGCAACGGTTATGCTAAGCAACACACCCGCGGAACATCCTGCTGCGTCGGCCTCCAGGCCTCTTTTCATCTGCGTGCGTTATTCACTAGGGACCTCGGACGTTAATGTCATCGGATGTGACTCGATCGGGAGTAACTCCACTTGACACTGTATTCCAACACGCAGTGGATTCAAACTAGCAATTTACAGTAATACGCTCAAGTCCCTCACCCTGTTCCTGATGGACTGCAGGAAGTGCAGTTCTTAGGCATCTGATTCCACTTATTATCATACTTGCTTGATCGAATTACCATCCTCCGCCACTCAGAAGGGTCCTGGCCAATGTGGCACCCCTCTCTGATGGTGGCACCCTGTGTGGCCACCGATGTCACTTTATGGGACTGACCAGCCGTGTATGACAGGGGAAATCTCACAATGGCTGCAAAGCGCCGCGCTTCCGAAGTGCCGTGACACGACGCCGGAAACCTACTCGATTAAAACTCAACTGGCGAATTTATGTAGTTCACTAATACATGGCTGACTAGTTTGGGGGTAATTACAAGCAAGCAAGCTTGCTGGAAAAGGTTAACAAGTACGTCATTTAGCGCCCCATGGTGCCGCTACCCACCTGGGAGCTGATTGTCTGCCCCCTCCCTGGCCACCCGTGTACCTGCCTGTCAGGTCAGCAGCATGCTCCTCCACAGGAACGAGCAAAGATGAAGACCCGTCATTTCCCACCCGGGGGCTACGATGATGGACCTGCGAGAGCTCAGCTCAGTCAGCACAAAAATGACTGGGTAGGAGAGAAATCGCCCACACCACCCCCCTCCTTCGCAGCAAGAACCGTCCCCCAGATTATATCATCAAAAAGATAATTACACACCGTCAGTCGTAGAGGAGCACTCTCATATTGGAGGATATCGCTTTTTTTACATTTATATGGCTGTCTAAATTGCTATTTCAGTGCGCGTGTGCTATTTTTACATAGGCACACACTGGAATAGATATTATTAGCAGACACATAAAATCGAAAGCCCACCTACAGCTCACTAAGGACAACGGACGTGTCCATATAATACCCCCCCACCCACCCCCCATGCTGCCTCACATCACACAAATCCAACAGGCAACCAACAAAACAGCGATAATGAGCGCAGGCAGGAGATGTTTCCCTCAGCACTATGCAACAGCACCGGTCCAAGTGAAAAACCGCAGGTCAGCATCAGGTGTCTTAGTGCTTCGAGGTGTATGGAGTCAAGGAAGGATATTTCTGTTATACCCTAACTGAACTTAAGCCTAGTCGGCTCCGTGATTGCGGCATGCTTGTAATGTGCTATTTGCACATTTACTATTGTTAACGCAAATATAAACTCATTCTAAATCTGATGCCTGAAACACTTTCCAAAACAGTTGGGAGCATGTTTACCACTGGGTTACATCACTCCTCTTTTTAATAACATCCTAAAAAGATCATTTGGGTAACGAGGACACTCGCTGTTGTCATTTTTTCCCACCGCTGAGTGATTTGCTCAAAACGTGCAAAATGCGTGGTGTCCGCCGTCGTATTCTGTGCTTCATGATGCACCAAGCGTTCCCCAATGGGAGGCTGTAGGCTGCACCAGACATACACACTTCAGTTGCAATGCTCGAAGGTGTACTCAGTTTAGTTGCATTGTATTTGTACTTTCAGTACAAATTTCAGTGTATTTTCAGTGTAGACTATCTAACCTGTCTGTATGAAAATTGCATGAATGCATGAAATTAAATATACATGAAATTAATATAAGTATACATGAAATTAAATATCTAGCACTTTAACTTAAAAATAATAAAATTTTTGCAAGATGAAACAATTTGGAGACTTAGGTAATGCAGTTGCCTGGTTAAGGACTAACACAATCAATGGTTCAACAAGAGTGCAGCTGGGGAACTCCCAGATTCTAAAGGGGCATCTCACTAATATTCCAGCATCCCACCTGACCGCAGCAGGACATCTGCATTAAAGGCCACTGGGTTTGCTGAAAAGAACAACATATTGGTTTTTAAACCAATTTCTACTTAGGTTTTTGGCATGAATTCTATCCACTACTTTAAATCATTTACATTTTTAATTTGTTCCACAGCTGCTTTTATCCAAAGCATTACACATTTTTAAGAAAGCAACATCAGACAGTCCCTAGAGGTAGTGATGTAGTCAAGACCACCTAAACCAAGACCAAGTCATTAACAAGACCAGAGTATATTGAGACCGAGAGAAGACCAAGACTAAGGCAGGGCGAGACCAAGACAAGACCAAGACAGGGCAAGACCAAGACAAGATCAGAAACAGACTAATGTTTGACATGACACACTAAAAAATGTGGAGCATAGGCACAATCTTGGGGCTAGGCAGTATGGCCTAAAATTTGTGTCACAGTATAAATTTGAAGCATGGATGTTTTTTTTTAATATAAAAATTTCAATATAAATGCTTCTGTACAAATGTAACATTTTTTCAGATAAGACGCACCTTACTGGTTACATTTGGACTTTGAAGCAGGACATTAACAGTACTGTGTTGAAAAACAGATGAATATTAATGCGTTGTGATGAATACTGAGCCGTTTTCATGAGTGGTCTTGACTGATCTTGAGATGAAACCCGGAGTCCTCTATGTACGAGACCGAGACAAGAGCGAGTCAAAATAAAGTAGAGTCCGAGACGAGACCAAGACCGTAAAAAAGTGGTCTCGAGACCAAAAACTACCTAGAGGGCTGTGCCCAGGAGCCTAACGATGAAACCAAGTGAACAACATGAACATGATGAGCCTAACATCAAAACAACTGACTGTGAACCAGTGACCTTGTGATTACAGGCACGGCGTCTGAGCCCACTGAGCCACACAATGTCCCCAGTCATTCTGCTGACAGAAGGATGATCATCTTTCATAAAAGGGTAAACAACACATACTGTACTACACATAAGCACAATAGGCACAGCTAGACCGTGACTTAAGAAAATCACCGAAAAGCAGACAATTATCAAAACCATATGCCAGTATCTCAGTGGTGCAGACTGCTGGAAGTGAAAAATGGGCTGGTAATGTGAGAAACAGCCAAGAGTCATTAGACATTAACTCGTGTCATCAAGGCACCTTGTAAACTAGATTAATTATGATGCCTTTGAGTAAAAATACACTTTTAACAATACTGTTATTCTCAATGTTAAAGGCTAAAAAAACACATAATTAACTTGTAATAGCAGCTACCTGTATTCTCTGTATTCCTTTCATTCATATCCAGACATGATTTAACACCATTTTACTTACCCAGCAGAATTCTTAAAAGTCTGGCATGGCAGAAAGCTTTTTGGCAAGAAAAAGGTCATAATCATTTTTTTCACTCCAACAGCAAACAAAGTTTTTTTGAATTATGAATTTCATTTGATGGTGTCTGAAGTACATACTGAAAAAATGAGTATAATTTGTCATATGTACTACAAACAAGCCCTCAAATGAAATGTAATGCTGGATCCTGATACTTGATATGAGGGACAGAAATGTTGTTCATGTCCCTTGTTAATAATATCACCATCTCTGTGACACTATTCTATTCTGTCCACATTTTACTTGTGACATTTAGCTGGTAGCATAGCAGTTAAGGACACAGTTAAGTAGTCTGTAAATGCTTTAAAAAATAGCAATATTTGACGCTACTAGGATAGTGTATGAAATAAGTCAGCCATTTTGTACATAACTATTCCAGAATTGATCTTGTACCAAGATCACATCACTGAAAACTGCACACTCGGAATGCAGGGAACTTTTGGCTGCAGAAATTTGCAGTTGGCTGTAGTTGTGAGGTCCAGGCCCTTCAATCCAGCCATAACTCATGCAGGGTATATGTAATGGATTTAAAACTCGACAAACGCCCTTTGGAACGGTTTAGCCGGCTGGAGTGGGTGAGTTGGCTGCAGCTGGGCAGTGTGGTTACCCTCCAACCCTCAAGGAGGTTGGGTGAGAGAAAACCAACCCAGTTATGACTGGTGGAGTCCACCAGAATGGCTTCACCACCTCCCCTAGTACCAGACGCAGTAGCTTTCGAGAGTGCAGTCTTCCACTGTGGCGCCAGCAGGGAGGTAACACAAAAGGATGCAGAAGGTCCTGGGTTCAAGCACCGGGGTAAGTCTTACTTTTGTATTTGACCCAAGATCTGTAAGTAGTCAGCAATATACATGGAAACACGGATAAATCTTTATTAGCGGGAATCTGACAAACAAACAAGCAAACATACAAACACACAACACAATGTGTCAGCTAAATGAATAAAATATAAAATAATAAAAGTAATGCAGGAAACATGACTCATTCTCATGAGGTTATTCAGGAAGAGAGGGAGCTCCCTGTCAAAGCATGAAATTTTGGAAATTGAATCATTGCACCCAAATCAGACACCCATTGGTGCCTGGTGTCTGTCTGGGAGCTGAGAATAACAGGAATGCTTAAGCCCTTAACCCCATTAACAGAAAGACTGCGAGACACCACATTCACTTAGGGCCAGTTCCAAAATGACCATTTCTGTCAACTACTGTTTACATGGGGGCTATAATATGATTGCGCAGAAGCAAACAAAACAAAGATGGGGACTGATGCTGAATATTGCTGGAAATTCTGGGAAGCCATATTTGAATGTCTGCTGGCTGTCTCGCCCTTAGCCGCCGAGGCTGTGTTAATTCATGCGACGTCTCCGGTCAAACTGCACTGCAATCATTCATCGCGGCGAGACACATACTGCACATAAGCAGCACCTGAATCGCCTTCAATGTCTATTAACGGGAAGGTTTTCAGACCCCAGCACACTGATTGTGCCAAATCCTAGGAAGTCAGACATTTCTGCCTACCGTTGCAGTCCTGGCCGGAGGCCGGGATTAAAGCCTGCAGAGGGGTAATTGTGGCTGCCTTCACCTGACAGTCAGAGGCCTATGCAAACTCCTGCCAAAGACCTGCCATCTCCTCAAGTGACTTACAGCTCTTCTGCAGGTGAGCCGGACCTGCCCCTTAAATCCAAGAAATGAGAATATGGTGAGTAAATACAGCAGCAACTGACATACATAACTACAAGGGTACAGATACAGACTGGGCCGCAACTCCACAACAACATTTACGTAAGTGAACAGCTAGTCAACAAGAACAACAGCAGTACTAATTACGACATAAGCAGCAGTAATAGCAGCATGTAGGAACAGAGGGAATAACACAACACTAATACAATGTGATACTAACACAACATAGCGGGACCGAAATTAATAACGGTAGCTGATTGCTGCCTGTACAGGCAGCTATTTACTGAAGCAATTCAGAATAAGTGTCTTTATAACAGGACGTCCCCGCTGCCTGGAATTTGCCCAGGCGTCGCTGTCTGTTACCGCCACGCTTTGTACCGCTAACCGTCAGCTGCTCCGGGCGCCCTGATGCACCGAACTCCCTCTCCATCTGAGCGCCTGCTAATCCGTCCCTGTTTCTTGGCTAAATTACAGCACCCACCCAGGAAGCAGGCAGCGCACAGCAGACACCATACCACCCACTACCATCACAGGCGAGTTTTCCTAATTTAAACACATTTAATTATGAATCAGACAGACTCATATGCGAAATCGCACAAACACTGTAAACAAGCTTTTGGACTCTTGTCTTGTCAGAGCATCATTAAAGTAACAGACAATAAAAACAATAATGTTTCTGGGAAATATCACGAAGAATGCGTAACCCCTGCCATTATATAAAGCAACCCAGCTTACAATTATTAATCATAAACATACTGAAAAGAACTTTTGAACAATATTCCTAAACCTTGTGTAATTATTGCTACTTCCTGAGCCCATAATGCACGAGGTTATTCCTACAAACTAATGAGTTTTTTGTTACATTGTGTAACAATTAGCATAAGTGCTAATGTGGGAATCCTTAGTAAATGATGCACGTTACACAACACACATACTCGTCACGGTAACACTGTGTTGTGCACGCATTCATTGCTGCGTAACAGTCGTTGTCCCAGCTCATCCCATCTTTCTCATCTCACCTGTCACATTTTTGTGTCGTACGGCAGATATAATATAAAACCTATTTCTGTGCTTTCAGGAGTTGCTCTTCTTCCTTGGAGATGTGCATAATTATGCTTCATAACAACACACCCAGCGGCTGAGTGTGTCATGTCCTCAGCCCACACGAGATTGCATAACGCGAGGAAAAAATGCTTAAACTCTCTTCATGAAATGTCGTATGAGAAGGAAAACCTTTAAATCAAGTAATGATAAATTCTACTGCAGCTATGGACGGTGCTGGACCGGCAATCTCAACGTTTTTTGAATGCTTTATAGTTTGTTTTTTTCCTTTTAGTATTTATTCCTTGTTTAATGTTACAGTGATAATGCAGCCTGAACTGCAAGAAAATGAGAAACTAATTATAAAATGTATTAACTAGTAGAAGTGAACAGTCTGATATGGGTAGCTGGTTTGAAAACTTGGTAACGTTTGAAAAGTCGTCTGGATAAGTCTGACATGAAGATAGCAGAAGAGATATCCATGCTGGGATATCCAATCATTTTAACAGTGACAAATTCCATAGGCAGTAGGTTGTGGGTTCCGTTCCTGCCCTGGCTCTCTCCTGTGTTTTCAGTTTGCATGGGATTAGGTGAAGTGCCGCGTCTTTACTGTGTGACAATGTGAGTGTGGGTGCCCAGTGGATTCCCGGCATGTGCCTGGTTAAATCCCAGTGGATTCCCGGCGTGTGCCTGGTTAAATCCCAGTGGATTCCCGGCGTGTGCCTGGTTAAATCCCAGTGGATTCCCGGCGTGTACCTGGTTAAATCCCAGTGGGTGCCAAGTATAGCCTAGGGCACGTTCCATGTTCCCCAACATATATGTGGAATGTGTATGGCCTACAGATGCCAGGGTTTCCATGTCCAGCAGCGGAAGTGCTCCAGAACCCAGCTACAGTACAGTTACTTTGTTTTTAAAAAGTTAAAAAAAAAAAAAAAAAAAAACAGCTGTGGAGTTAATAGGTGTAAATCACAGGGGGAATGGGGGTGGGTTTACCCCCGCTTACCCTAACCCTAACCCCCCCCCCCCCCGTCATGCATTTAACCCTCGAGCTGCTGGGTCTCACCCAGGAGATCCGGCACCTCAGAATGGAAAGTCAAGGCCAAAGAGAGACTTGAGTGAGGCAATCAGAGCTGAGTGCAGCTGAGCGGGGCGGCTTTAAAGCATCAGGGATCCCCGTGATCAGGCAGTAGAAGCTGGCTGGGGGGCAGACAGGGCATCAGGCCTCTGCACTGCAGCTGCTGATTAGCCAGAAAATGAAGAATTTATGCCCCTCTGAAGAGGAACTGAAGTATAGAACCTCTAATCAGGCCTAATGAACATTAATGGCAAATAGGTAGCATAGTAGTTAAGGGCTGGATCAGGCTCCAGGAAGATCTCAACTTGTGCCCTTGTGTGAGGGATGCTGGGAACTCAGATTAGGGCATAAGGTGACCATAACCTCTGTACTGACCCTGTGACGGCACCCTAACCCTGACACTAACCACTGAGCCATGGTCAGCAGTGCCACCCCGGAAGCTGCAGCAATGTCGGAGATGACAATCACACCCTTCCTCAAGAGTTCAGCTCCAAATTTTCAAATGGAACAATCAACCACACCTACTAATACAACTTTCATGGCATACCAAACCTCTCATTTTGTTTATTTATTTGTTTTTCCTGGAGGCTGCCAACTGAGAATGTAAATCAACATGACAGGATGATCATTCGGTCACCTATCTTGACATTTTTCCCATCATGCACCCCGACAACCCCCCCCCCCTCAGTGATCGACTCCTGCCCTCCGTTTTTGCATCAGCAGATCTCTCCGTGTACATGTGCAGCGACCTGGGACACTGATCATATACGAACATCCTGATACAATAACACTGAAAAAAATGTAACTGTGTTACATGTGTTTGCTGCCTGAAGCTGAGATGTTGCCTCCAAAGATCTTTCAGACACTCTATTTGCCACTTGAATAGAAACGCACTGAAGCACAAATACAAAGCTTAATTGATTACAAGCAAGTCTAGAAAATGTACAGCTGTTTGATGAGTGAAATGCTACTGCAGATGCCTACTGAATGAAATTAGTGCTGTAGTATGTAACAAATCATCTTATTTGATTTATTTTTAAGCCATAACCCCTGCAGCAATTTGACCTGGGAACAATTACATTTTTGTAATTAATTTCTTACAACTAATATGGACTTACTGACTGCAACTATGGTTTCATGAGTCTCATATTTCATAAAAATTATTAATATAAAAAATACATGTAGTTTGTATTCCAGAGGATGTCCTGATGCGTCCTCATGAAAACGTAACCTCACTTTGTAGAGCGTAAGTATCCCGCTGTACGTATAGGGATAATGAAAAATGAAGGAATGCAAATCATACAGAAGAAAAGAAATGTAAGTGATGAAAAGAAAGAAGGTAAGTGATAGCAGAGTTAGCATGATGGAAATCATCACCACCATCATCAGAAAATGAGCTACTTCAAATAATTAATAATTACAATTAAGTCTGACTGAAGTTGAAGATCTGATCGAGGTTCATTTTCACAGTCATGGGTGTGACAACTAAAAACACAAAAATCCCACTTAAAAGCTGTTTTTGCTACACTAAATATGCACACATGAAATATTCTGGGAGAAGTGGCATTGAACAGTTTTAAAACTGCGATATCGCAGCTCCACAATCCTGCAACACTTTTACATAATGTGAATTCCGAAGGCCAGAAAGCAATTTCAGTTGTACATCCACGTGATGTTGCCCCGTTGGGTGCCCACTTAGCTCAAATTTACACCAGTTTCAATTTTATAAATGCTCACTCTCACAGCAGTTAAATATGTACATGTGGCGTATTTGCCGACACGCTACAGTATGTACACCCTGTCCTTGCTTTTCTGCACTCTGCATCATGCTGATTGTTATTTTGGGGAGTTAGTGCATTTCGGCTCTTACTGTGCCAAAAAGAATGCTCACTCACTGAAGAACGGGCAAGTCGGGTTCAAGTACTGTCACTGTCATTCAATATCCCCCTCTCCCAGCATCCCCATTCAATATAGTCATTCAATGCAGCCAAGATGCACCATATCTCACCATCAACATGTACTTTGTTCTCAGGAATATTGCGGCAGCTTCACCGTGTTTAATTCTGCAGTAAATCTGATGAAGTTAAAATGAAATCCAACATAAACTCGCTGGGGACTTGCTAACCATACTCATCTCCACAGATCTACCAGTTCACCCAGTACCGGGTCACACTCAATCTTTCTATGGCAATGACAGTTTATGAAGTTTGGCAGCACAAACACTGCATGCCCTCTGAAAGCAGAACTACATTTTAAAAATGCTGTTTTTGTTCTATACTGAGTACTTCCAAAACAGGGGCAGGGCTGCAGAGGCACTGGCCCCAGCTGATTGGCCCCCGGAGTGCCCCTCCCCTGTCACTCACCAATACAAAACATATCATTGGCTAATGATAAGACTGGCAATTCTATATGAATTATGGCCCCTCTTATGCTCTACAACTTAAAAAATGTTTTCTAACTACTCTTATGTAAATAAATTCATTAAATTTGCAGATTACTAATCCTTTGTGTGACAGTTTCCCTCAGTAGACGTATTTCCCACAGACATCCTTTTCTGTCTGTCCTTCTATCCATCTATCCGTCCATCCATCCATCCATATCTATTACACTGGTGAGTCTGGGCACTACAAATGTCTTTATTCATCCAATATGTAATCCATCCATCCATCTATCCATTAATTTTCTGTACCAGCATGTCCTGTATAATTTAATTGCACTACTTTCCCTTATTTTTAATAATCTTTTGCACGTTTAGTCCCGTCAGACGTCTGTGGCATGTCAGGAGGTGCCACTTATTTCGAAGACAAAGACTGTATGATGTCGATCAGCCAGAAGAGCCCGTTTAAGCCGACCTGGCACTTCGATAGGAGACGCGTCA